CTTCTGAATACCCTTCCCCTGAATAGAAAAGTTGTTTTAACCCTGCCCAAAAGGTTTACGTCTCTGCCCCAACCACCGATGCTACTGGGTGCAGCATAAAACAAGGCTGGCGGGTTTCAGCTATTTTATCCTTTTTTAATTTTTTTTTGGCCCAATTTCGGGGGGGGGCCCAAAAATTTGGATGGTTTCCTGAAGCTTTTCCCAAAAAGCTGTCTTTAACATTTTCCAGACTTGTTTGTTTCCCCAAATTTTTCCGCATTTACCCCAGTAGTTGTGACAGTTTTTCCCAGCTCAAATTTTTAAAAGGGTCCGAAACCTTTGTTCTAAAATTTGGGCCCAATTCGGGAATGTTTTTTAAAGTTTTTAGGGGGAAAGGAAACCTCAATCCACCTCCCGGAAACTTCTCTAAAAGGGGCATATCGGAATTTTGGGGGGTTATCCTTTTGGGGTTGAATAAGATTTAAAAACTTGAACCCAAACGGACATTGACTTTTGTTGTAAGCTGGCAAATTAACAGTTATTGCGGTTTAAAAAGGGTTTGTGTCCCGCCTAATCAAAATTTAAACCTCTTCCGACGCGAAAAAGGGGTTCAAAATTTGATGTGGTAAAATTTAAATTTTTAAACGACGGTACAAAATCAAATTTCCAAGGAAAACTGGTACTCTTCTTTAAATATTTAATACTTTTTCCCTGCCCTTTTGTATTCAGGGGGCACTTTTTATGTAGAGGAAAAACAACAAATTAACCCACATTTTTTTCACCCCGAATTGAAAAAAAAGCAAAACAAAGAGGAAAAAACCCGGGAAAAAAATTTTTTAACCCGGTACAATTTTTTTTTATAAATAACCATTTTTCAATAAAAAATATAATTTTCTTCCTTTGACTGGGGTAAAAATTTTTTTAAAAAATTTTTTTTCCTTTGCTCCAAAAAACTGAATTAACCCATCTTCAAAATTTTACTGAAAAAAAATCCCTAAAACTGAAAATATTTTAATAAACTTTTAGCTTTAAAGAAGTTGGAAACGTAGATATTTTCCCTTTGTTTTTGTTGCTCGTAAATTAATTTATTGTTCTAATTATTCTTCTTTAGTTTTTGGATTCCCTTTAAAATTTATTAAATTTTTTATTAAAATTTGGGTAAAAAAGATTTTTTTTCGTTGGAAAAATTTTAGCTTTTAATTTCAATGAAGCTATTTCTTTAAAAAACTTGAGATTCCCAACTTTGCTTCGCTGATAATGATACAAAAATCGAGAAATGTTTGAAATGCTGGGCGTCTAGATTCTCACTGGTTGGGGTTCTCTCGTACATTCAATTTTATGTTTTTTCACGTAACAGGATCCTGAGGCATTGTTTTTTTGTCGGTCAAAAACCAGGTTGATTTAATTGGAAAACGGGGAGAGCAGATAAATTTTTTTCCCGGAACCCCCTCAAGCGCCTTCAAAAATAAATCCCGGAACCGAATTTTTTTGTTTTTAAAAAAAAAATGACGTGAAATTTTCGGATTAATTTTTTAAAATTTATTGTCCTAGAAATTCGTTTTTAAAAAATGTTTAAGGATTGATCCGCTTTTGCCGAAAATCGGCTTGTTGAAAAAGTGGTGGGGAAAACAAAAAGATTCCAATCTTTTCTATTAAAATAAAAACCCAAAAAAACATCTCTAAAAATTTAATTTTTAAAAAAAAAAAATTGGGACGGTGGTGATTTGCAGTTTAAGACCATTTTAAAGAAAATTTTCTGCAAATTTTTTAACAACTTTTTGGGCCTTGGAAAGTTATATAGATCACGAGTTTTGTATTTTTTCCGATAATCCCTTCCATAAAATTTACAAGCTGTTTTTTGAATATTGTTATCCATTTTGGGCCCCTTTCCCCGTTTTAGGGGGTTTTTTTTTACCTGATTTTGTTGTTTTGAGATACCCTTATACTAACCCCTTTTTTTGTTTATGTCTCTGATTCCTTTTGACTTTTTTTGCGGGGGGCCCTGGATGTCTTCCCTCTTTATGAAAAAAGTGTGAAACTAAAAACAATGAGGGGGCAAAGGCAAAAAGGTTTTAAAAATAAGTGTTTTTTAACCAAAATTTTACAAAAATGTACTCTGAAGAAATCTTCCAAACAGTTTAAAATTTTACAGGTTTTTTTTAGGGTTTTGCTGCTTTGGGTTTTAGGGGGTTTAAAAAGCGGGGGAGCTGGTCGACAACCGGGCAGGAGAAAAGACTGGAACAGCAGAAGCTTGATCGATGTCCCCAAACGGGGGCCGTCGAAAATTAATGGGTTTTCTGGGGGGATCGGCCCGGAAACAGGATCACGAAGGGACCCTTGGGGAGGGAAGGCGCCCGGGGTTTAAGGGGGGAACAGGTCCCTAAAGGGACCCGAAAAAATACCCACCCAAAGTGCGGGGTGGGCCCGGGAAAAAGGGGTCGTCAAAATTCATTTGGGGAAGGAGGTCCCCAAAAAAGGGGGCAAAACAAAAATGATACGACTTCCGGGGGGGATCGACCCGGGAAAAAGGATCCGCCAAAAGTATCCTTGGCAAAACGGTCCCCGGGAAAGTTAAAATTTTGGGGAAGGCGGGTCCCCGGTTTAACCATAGCAGGGAAAAAATTTCGGGAAAAAACCCGGTCGACCGCGGTAATGGGATCCCCCAAAATTTTATCCGGGGAAGGGTTTTCCTAAACGGGCCGAAGGGAGAACAGTGATACATTTTTGGGCGGATCGACCCGCCCTAAAATTTTCGCGCCAAAATGTTTTCATTTTGGGGAAAACGGTTCCTAAACAGGGCCAAAAGGGAGAACAGTAATTTCGACTTACAGGGGATCGACCAAACGGGGGCCAAAAAAAAATGTATCCTTGGCGAAACGGGGCCCCAAACAGGGCCAAAGGCAGAACAGTATTGCGACTTCATGGCGGATTTTACCCCGGGAAAGGGATGGGAAAAGGGATCCCAAAAAGACGGTTGCCCCAAAAAAAAGGCAGAACAATATTCAATTCCGGGGGGACCGGGCGGGGTCGCCCAAAGTGTTTACCGGAAAGACGGGGGGCCCAAAAGGGGGGAGGAAAATTGGTTTTTTGGGGGGATCCCCCAGAAAAAGGGGTCGCCAAAATTCCCTTTGGGGAAGATGGGCCCAAAGAGGTGAAAGGGAAAAGGGGAAAAAACCACGGGCGGATGGCCCCGGGGCTTCTTCGGGGTTTGGGGTTTTATCCCGGGGAAACCCGGCTGGGGCGGGGCCGGGGGGGAGAATGAGCTGGAAAAGAGAAGCAGTCGATTTCCCCAAGCGGGGGGTCAGAAAAGTATGATTTACTGGGCGGATCGACCCCGGGGAAAAAAAATTTGCAAAAGGGACCATTTGGGGAAGGGGGGTGCGACAAAGGAAAAATTTTGGGGAAACGGGTCCCTGAAAAAACCCTGGCGAAAAAAATGATACGGCTTTAAAATGCGGATGACCGGGAAAAGGGTTTGCGCCAAAGTGTATCATTTGGCGAAACGGAAACCTTAAAAAAGGGAAGGGGAAAAAAGTGATACCTTTAATGGCGGATCGACCTCGAAACGGGGTCCCAAAAGGGTTTCCCTTTCCCAAAAGGAGTCCCCGGGGCCCAAATAGAGAACAGAATCGAGTTCACAGGCGGATCGGCGGAAACCGCCAGCAAAAAAAATGTATCACTGGGCGAAAACCCGAACCCCAAACAAGGGCCCAAAAAGAGAACGTGATACGACTTCACGGGCGGGTCGACCGCGGGAAAAAGGATCCCCCAAAATGCCTTGGTGAAAACGGAGTCCCCAACAGGGGCCAAGTCAGAACGGGGATACGACTTCAAGGGGGGAAACGACCGCGGAAACAGGATAAAAAAAAATGTTTTACCCGGCGAAAGTGTCCCAAAAAGGGCCCAAAGGGAGAAATGATACGATTTCACGGGGGATTTACCGCGGAAAGGGGTCCCCCTGGGGGATCCGGCGAAGACGGAGTCCCTAACGGGGAAAATTTAGAAAAATTTATACAAACGGGGGTTCCCCCGGGGTTTGCCCCGGACCATAAGCCCAGCTGGGAATTAAAAACCCGAACTGATTCAAGGGGGAAACGAGGGGGAAACAGGATCCCCCTTTTCATTGGGGGAAGGGGGGTCTCCGGGGGGCCGGGGGAAATGAACCCCGACCCACGGGGGGAATCGCCCCGGGGAAACGGGGTGCGCCCAAAATGTATCCCTTTCAAAAACAGGTCCCAAACCCAAAACAAAGCAGAACAGTGAACCCTTTTACAAGGGGGGATCGACCGCGGAAACCCATCCGGGGCCAAAATGTATCACTTTGGGGGCGGGAAACCGGGGGCAAGTCAGAACAGTATTTCAACCCTTTACCCGGGCGGATCGACCCGGGTAATGACCAAAAATGAATCCGGGGAACAAGGGTCACCGGGCCTGAAAAACAGTATTTCGACCCCAAGGGCGGGTCGAAACCCCAAAAAAGGGTCCGCAAAATGCCCCTCCGGAAACCGGGGTCCCTGGGCCTGAAGAACAATCGACTTCAAAGGGGCGGATCGACGGGGGGAAACGGGGTTGCGTCAAAAATGCATCATTTGGGGAAAACGGAAATCCTAAAAACAAGGGGGAAAAAAGAATTTTAGGCCGGTTCGACCTCGAGCGGGGTCAAACCCAAAATGTTCACTTTTGGGGAAGGAGGAACCCCAAACAGGGCCAAGTTAGAACAGTAATACAACTTACAGGGCCCGATCAAGGGAAAAGGGTTTAACAAAGTTATCCTGGGCAAGGGCGGAATTCCCGTAAACCTTCCCAAATCGGGAAAAGGGTACAACTTACAGGGCGGATCGACCCGGGAAAAAAGGATCGCCCCAAAAAATTTTTCACCCGGCAAAACTAGGGCCAAACAGGGCCAAGGCAGAACGTGAAGTTTTACAGGGCGGATCGACAGCGAAAAAGGGGTCTTCCCAAAAGGGTTTTCCGGGGAAAATGGGGCCCCAAACGGGGGGTGGGGAAAAGGGGATACGACTTCAGGGGGGGAATTTAACCCCGGGGGGATGGAAAATGTCCCCTTTGGGACCCCTAAACAGGGCCAAAAGGGAGAACGGGGGGATTTCCGGGGGGTCGACCGCGGCGGGATCCCCCAAATTAACCGGGGAATGATCCCCGGGGGGTCTAAATCGAACGGGTACAACCCACGGGGGATCACCGCGGGAAAAGTGACCAACAAAGTGTTTACTGGGCGGAAAAGGAACCCCTAAACGGCCGGGGAAAAGGGGATACAACTTCACAGGGCGGATCGACCGCAGGGGGGATCCCCCTTTTTTGTTTTGGCCCGGAAAAAGGGCGTAAAATTAAAATCGGGAAAAGGGGATTACCCAAAGGCGGATCGATCGCGGAAAAAGGGGTCGCACCAAAATTTTCAGTTGGCGAACACGGGTCCCCAAACGGGGGCCAAATTAGAACGGGTATAATTCACGGGGGAGAACGACCCGGGGGGGAAAGTGATCCAAAAAAAGTGCCGGGCGAAGACGGAACCCCAAAAAAAGGCCGTGAAAAACAGTATTTCCCTTTGGGCGGATCAAAAAGGGAAAAAGGGTCCCCAAAATTTTATTGGCTGAACGGGTCAGTAAACAGGTCCCCGAATCGGAAAGGGGATACGACTTCACGGGAAATTTGGGTCGGCCGGGAGGGGATCCCCAAAAATGCCAGGCGAAAGTCTAAACGGGCTAAAAGAAGGTGATACGACTTCACAGGGCGGATCGACCGCGGAAACGGGGTCGGGAAAAAATTTATCCCGAAAACCGGGGTCCCTAAATAGGGCCCAAAAGGGAGTATAGTGGAAAATTCTTCGGGCGGTTTGACCGCCCAAACGGAAATTTCCAAAATAAAATCCTTTTGGGGAGCCGATTCCCCAAACAGGTCCCAAAACCCAAACAGTGATAAATTCACAGGGCGGATGGAAGCCGGCGGGGTCGCACCCCAAAATGTAAACAATTGGGCGACGAAGTCCTTAAACAGGGGCCAAAAAAGGGGAAAAGTTTAAAACTTCCGGGGGGGTTCGACCCGGTAACGGGGTCCCCCAAAAAATGTATCATTGGGAAGACGGAATTCCAAAAAAAAGGGTTTAAGGGGGAAAAAAATTTATACAACCCCAGGGCGTCGACCGAAAGGATCACCCAAAGTGAATCACTTGGTGAAACAAACCCCAAAAAAGGCCCGGGGTTAGAAAAGTACAACTTCACCGGGGGATCGACCCCGGGCAAGGGGCCCCCAAAGTATCACAGGACAAAGAACCCCTAAAAAAGGCCGGGGAAAAGTGATACGAATTCACCGGGGGTTTGACCGGGAAAGGGTTCCAAAAAAAAAGGGATCCTTGGCGAAAATAAGGGCAATAAACATGTCCAAAATCAAAAAGGGGATTTAAAACCCCGGGGAAAGCCCCAGAGCGGATCCCCCGAAATGTATCACTTGGGATTTTTTTGGGCCCTAAACAGGGCCAAGTAGAGAACAGAATCGAGTTCACAGAGCGGATCGACCAAAAAAATGAAAACAAAGTGTATCACTGGGCGGGAAAGGAAAATTAAAAAAAAAATTTTAAAGAACAGTGACACGACTTCCAAAGGGGGGATCGACCCCGGGGAAAAGGGTTAAACCCAAAATGTATCCGGGGGAAACGGAACCCAAACAGGGGAAATTAGAACGGGTCAACCCCACGGGGGGGATGACCGGAAACCGAAAACCCAACCCAATTTTGTATCCGGGGGAAAGGAACCCCCAAAGGGAAAGGGCCGTGAAAAACGTGGCCGACTTCACAAGGGGGGATCGACCGCGGGAAAAAGGGGTCGCGAAAATGTATCCGGGGAGACAAGGGCAGTAAACAGATACAAAATCGAAAAGGGGATACAACTTCACCGGGCGGATCGACCGCGGAAAAAAGGGTCGCAAAAGTGTTTCCTTCGAAAGGGGGGTCAGTAAACGGGGCCCAAATCAGAAGGTGATACAACTTACGGGGGGGGATCGACCCTGGAAACCGGGGCCCCGCCAATTAAAACCCCCCCAGCACGGGGCCCCAAACAGGGCCGTGAAAAACGTGATACAACTTCGCCGGGTGGATCGACCGCGGAACGGGGTCGCACCAAAATGTACTTTGGGGAAACAAGTCGCCCAAAAAAGGGGGGTGAAAAAAGTGATACGACTTCCGGGCGGATCGACCGCCGGAAAGGCATCCCCCAAAAGTGTATCCTTGGGGAAACAGGTCCAAAACAGGGCCCAAAAGGTGATACGACTTCTGGGGCGGATTGACCCGGCGGGATCAGCCAATTTTCCGGCGGCGGTGTCCCCCAAAGGGGCCAAAGGGAAAACGGGGATACGACTTACAGGGCGGATATTGGGGATCGCAAAAGGGGTATCCTTTGGGGGAGGGTCCCTAAACGGGCCAGGCGGGGAATTTATCGACTTGACGGGGGGATCGACCCCGGGAAAAAGGGACCGGAAAGTGTATCCGCCCAAGACGGTGTCCCTAAATGGGTTTGGGCAGAAAATTTATCTTCACAGGTCGGATTGACCGCGAAAAGGGATTGCACCAAAAATGTTACTTTTGGGGAAGACAGGTCCTTTTAAACCCCGGAGAACGGGGAAACGACCCAGGGGGGAACGACCGCGGGAAAAAAAGGGTCGAACCAAAGTGTTTCACTTGGCGAGGGGGCCCAAAAGGACGGGTTTTGTCTTCCCGGATCGACCGGGAAGCAGGATCGGGCGGTGCCCTTGGGAAAAACCCGGGGTCCCCAAAGCGGGGGCCAAAAGGGAGAACTGTGGTACGACTTCCGGGGGGGATCGACCCGGAAACGGGGTCCCGGGGCAAAATGTATCATTTGGCGGCCGTGCCCTAAAAGGGCCCAAAACCCGAACAATGATAGATTTTCCGGGCGGATCGACAAAAATGGATCCCCAAAAATTTTACCCCGGGGGAAGTTTGGTCCCCCAAAATTTGGCCAAAATTTTCCTTGGGGTGGGGGAGGGCAAGTAAATAGGTCCGTCAGAAAAAGTGATACAACATCCCGGGGGGTTAAGGGGGAAAAGGGGTTACCAAAGGGGTTAACTTGGCGAACACGGGGTTCCCAAACAGGGCCAAAAGGGAGAAAGGTACAACTTAAAAGGGGCGGATCGTCCCCGTAAACAGGACTCCCAAAAATTTCCCTTGGGGAACGGGTCCCCAAACGGGCCCGTGAAACGGGGTACAACAACAGGGCGGGTCGACGGCGGAAACGGCTTCCCAAAAGGGGTCATTTGGTGGGACGGGGGCCCCAAACAGGGCCCAAAACAGAAAGGTAAAACGACCACAGACGGATTGGCCGCCCCGGGCGGGATTACCAAGTGTATCCTTTGGGGAAGAAGTGTCCCAAAAGGGCCGAAGAAAAAGGGTACCGAATTTTGGGCGGAAAGGACCCAAACCGGGTCCAAAGGTATACTTGGCGAAGATGGAGTCAGTAAACATGTCCAAGTCGAAGGGGATACAACCCAAAGGGGGAAACGACCGGAAAAAGGGGTCGCAGAATTTTCATTGACTGGAATCCCCCAAAAGGGGAAATGAAACAGAATCAAATTCCGGGCGGGTCGACCCGAAACCCGGCCCGGGGATCATGGGCGGGCGGAACCTTTAAACCCAAAGGAAAGAAAAATGGACTGGGCGGATCGACCGCAAACAGGGTTCCCTTTCCTTGGTTTAAACCCGGAACCCCCAAACAAGGGGGAAATTAGAACATTTTCCCCAAATTGGGGGGGATCGACCGCGGAAAAAAAACCAACAATGTTATTTGGGGGAAAAAGGAAAACCCCAAAAAAAGGGCCCAAAAGGGGAACGGGGACACGACTTACCGGGGCGGTTTGGACGGGCGGGTGAAAAACCGGGAAATCAATAAACGATTTCCGTGAAAGGCGATACAACTCAGGGCGGATCGACCCGGAAACGGGGTCGCACCAAAGTGTATCACTTAAAAGGGGGGGTCGGTAACAGGTCAAGTCAGAAGGGTAAATTTTTGGGGGGATCGACCCGTGGGAAAAGGATCGCCCAAAGTGTACCCCCTTTAAAAACGGGTCCCCAAACAGGGGGAAATGAGAACAGTATACAACCAAAAGGATCGACCGCGGAACGGGGTCGCACCGTGGCCTGGCGAAAAGGGAAATTTTTAAAAAAGGGCCGTGGAAAAAGGATTTCGACCCCAGGGGGATCATTGCTGAAATTCCTTGGCGAACCCGGTCCATAAACAGGGCCAAAAACCCGAAGGTGATACGACTTCCGGGCGGTTGACCCCCGGAAAGGGGTCTACCGAAATTGCCAAACGATTGGCCGAAAAAAGGGAAGGGAAAACACTTTTGGGGCTTAAAAAGGGGCGGAAAGGGAAAGCGACGGGGGTTTACCAAAAGTGGGGGTTTCCTTTTCGGAAAAGGGTCCTAAATGGGGCCAAACAGAAAGGGGATAACTTACAGGTTGGTTGACCATGGGAAAAAGGAAGGCCAAAAAATTTTATCCTTGGCCCCGGAAGTCCTAAATTGGCCCAAACAGAACAGTGAAAACTTCCCGGGGGAAGACCCTGGAAAAAAAGGTTTTTCCAAAGTTATCACTTGAGGGCAGGCCTAAAAACAAAGGAAGGTTTTTGCCACCGGGGGGGAACAAAGCGGAAACGGGGTTCCCGTGTACCACAAAAAAGGCCCTAAAAGGGGGGAAAATTTACGTTACGGGGCGGTTGACCGCGGAAACAGGATCGGGCCCAAAATGGCATTTTGGGGGGGGTGTCCCCAAACAGGGGGCCCAAAAGGGAGAACGGGTAGACACGGGGGGGATCGACCCGGAAAAAAGGTTTGCCCCAAATTATTGGGGGGACCCTAAAAAAAGGGGGGAAAGAAAGTTTTTAATTTTTGGGGCGGTCGAAAGGTAAATGGGGTTTTACCTCCAGGGGGGATCCCGGGTTTGGGGGAAAAGTTTAAATTCGAACAGGGGGCCCCTAAAAGGGCCAAAAGCAGTGATACAACTTTTGAGGCGGATTGGTAAAAAGGGCCAAAGGATAAATTGGCGAACCAATTCCCCCACCAATTTACAGTATTCCAAAAGGGGGTCGCCTAAAAAAACTTCATAAAGGAAATTATTTTTGGGGGGTCCTAAACAGGGAAGCAAAAAGTATTCCCCCCCCAGGGGGGGATTGACCGCGGAAAAAAGGCTTGAAGGGTTTTGGGAAAACTTTTCCCCCAAACAGGGCCAAGGCAAAAAGTGATACACTTTGGGGCGGATTCGGAAAAAATGAAAAATGTATCACTTGGCGGGGTCCCCAAAAAGGGCCAAAGGGAAAAAGTGATAAACTTTCAGGGGTTCGGCCAGGCGGGGAAATTTATCCTTGGCGAAAAATTAACCCAGGGCCAAAAAGGGGGAAAGTGATGCTTACGGGGGATTGACCGCGAAACATTCACCAAAAGGGATCACTTGGCGAAGACAGGCCCTCTTGGGAAAACAGGGGGAAAACTTACAGGGCGGGACCAGGGAAAAAAAGGGCAAAAAAGTGTATCCGGGGAGACCCGGGGCCCCAAACAAAAAGGGGAAAGTAAACGCTTCACGGAAGGGCCATGAAACAGGATCGGGCAAAGGGACACTTGGGGAAAAACGGGCCCTAAACAGGCCCCCAAAGGGGGAAAGTATTTCGCTTCCGGGGGGGATCGACGCGAAGCGGGTCAGGCAAAGTGTAACATTTAAGCCAAAGGCCCCGGGGGAAAAACAGAACGGGTTTTCGCGGGGGGGATCGACCCAAAAAAGGGGGCCCCGGAAGGTACCATTTGGGGAAGTTTTGCCAAATTTTTCCCAAAGGCCCCGGGGGAAAAAGTGATAAATTTGCGGATGCAAAATGGGCTGCCGCGAAGTTGGATTACCAAAGTTTTTTAACTTGGCGGCACGGGGTCCCCAAAAGGGGCCGGGAAATGAAAACTTGTTTCGGGGTTCGCGGAAAGGGGTTTCCCAAAATTCCCTTGGCGAACCAGGGCCCAAACAGGGCCAGGGAAAAAGGTTAACACGGGGAAAAGGGAAAACGGGTTTTTGCCCAAAAAGGGTATTTGGTTTTGGGGGTTCCAAAAAGGGCCCAAAACGAAGGTGGATAGCCGGGCGGAAAGACCCCGGGCGGCTGGGGTGATCCTTTTGGGAAAAAATTTTCCTAAACGGGAACAAAAAGTGAAAGACTTCACGGGCGGATTGACTGGGGAAAAAGGATCGCGCAAAAGGGATCCCTTTGGGGGAAAAAGGGGCCAGGGAACAAAAAATCGACTTGGGGGGGATCGACCCAAACGGACTTGGGACCCTTTTGGAGGGGCCTAAAAAGGCCAAAGAAGGAACTGACGGGCATTGACCCCGGAAAAAGGTTACCGGGGGTTCCGGGGAAAAGGCCAAATTGGAAAACGGGAAAAGTGAAAACTTCCGGGCCCGGGGACCCGGGGAAAAAGGGTTGAAACCCAAAATGTATCACTTGGCGAAAACAACCAAGCAAATTTAAAGGCAGAAAGTAACGCCACGGGCGGAACGACCGCGGAAACGGATCGGCCAAAGTGTACCCTTAAACAGACGGGCCCCCAGGGAAAGGGAGGATAACCCCTTACAGGGCGGATCGACCCCAAAAAGGGGTGGGCCGTGTAAGGGGAAAAACCCGGGGGCCCCAAAAAAGGAAAGGGCCCCAACGTGATGGAATTTCCCCGGGACCCCGGGAAAACCCCCCAAAAGAATTGGGGTTTAGGGCAAAGTTTGGGGAAAGGCGTTTTCTAGAAGGCAGAAAAAAGGAAACCCGAAAGGGGATCCTTTCCCGGGCGGTTGACCCGGAAAATGGATTTTAGGGGTTTAAAGGCCGAAACGGGGCCCAAAAAGGGCCGGGCGGCGGCGATGATTTTAGTGGGTGTCCCAAACGGGGCCCAAAAGGGTTTTTAATTTTTAAAAACCGGAGTCCCCAAACAGGGCCCAAAAACAATACAACCAGGGCGGATCACAAAAACCCGCTTGCCCAAAGGGGCCCCCTTTGAAAGGTCCTAAAAAAGGGCCCCGAAGAAAAATTTAAATTAAAAGAGGGGGTTTTGACCGGGAAAATATTTAAAATTTTATCATTTTCGAAGACGGGTCCCCAAACAGGGGGCCCAAAACGAAAATTTATAAAAAAGAAAATGGGGATCGAACGGGAAGGAAGTATATTTTTTGGCGGGGCAAAAAACAAACCAAAACAAACAGGGTAGACTTCCGGGGAGGTTGGGGAAAAGGGTGGGAATGGTGTATCCTTGGTGAAGACGGACGGCCTTAAAAAAGGAAAGGAAAGGTGGTATAGACTTACGTGGGATCGACCGCGGAAAACGCGCGCCAATGGCATCCGGTGAAACGGCGGCCCTTTAAAACCCCAGGAAAAGGTGATGGGGAAATTTTTTGGTGGGGTCGAAAACCCCGAAAAAGGGATGGGGCCAATTTATCCCGGGGGAAAACGGCGTCCCCAAAACAAAGGCCAAAAATGGGGCCCGGTGGAATTTACCCTGCGGAAGCGCCTGCTGGTCAAAAAATTGGGGAAGACGGCGTCCCCCAAAAAAAAGACAGAACAGTTATAAAACTTCCGGGGGGATTGACCCCGACAGGCGCGCCAATGTGTTCACTTTGAACGGCCCTCCTAAACAGGGCCAAGACGAACGGTATGGCCCTTTACGGGGCGGTTTTACCGCGGGGAAAAAGGGTTTGCCCAAAGTGTATCACTTTTTGGAACGGGTCCTAACCGGGGCCAAAAGGGTGATACCAAACCCCCAGGGGGGTTTTTCCGGACAGGATCGCGCAAAATTAACCTTGGCAAAAAAGGTTAAAAAGCAAAAAAAGGCAGAACGGTGATAGGCTTCAGGGCGGATCGACCCCGGGAAAAGGATCCCCAAAATCATTTGGCGAAGGGGCCCCAAACGGGCAAAACAGAACGTGAAACGGGGCGGATCCCCACCCCGGAAACAGGATCGCCCAAATGTCCGGCGAAGAGGTTCCCCAAACAGGGCAAAAATAGAACAGTGAACTTGGGAAGATGGAAAAAAAGGGGTAGCCCGAACTCAAAGGGGGGACAAGGGCCCAAACGGGGTAAAACCGTGAAAAAAATTAAACACGTTGTCCCAGGAAAGGAACCCCGGGAAAGACTAACAATATTTGGAAAAAAAATTGGCTAAACACCTTTTTCCCGGTTGGGGGGGGAAAAACCGAGATAAATTTTAAATTTAATTTGTCCTTTTGGAGCATAAAGGGGCCCGAATTTTTTGGTTTGAAGAAAAGATATTTCTTTAAAAATTTTTGCCCTTTTGGGTTGAATTTATTGGGCGGAGATGGGTTGGGTTTAGGTAATTTGTTTTTTCTAAGGAGGGGGTTTTTGGCCGGCCCCGACTTTTTCATAACAATTAAACCAGGCAGGTTTGGCTTTTCATTGACCGAGGTTGAAAAGGGGGTATTAGGTTGGGGAAAATTTTTGGGTTCTAAAGGGGGGTTCCTTTTTAAGCCAAAAAATTTTGAAATATTATTTTTGTTTAATTTCGTTTTTCTGTCCCCTTGGGAACTTTTTCATATTTTTTAAAAAATTTTGGTTTTGGAATAAATTCCCTTTTGGGGAAACCAAAAAAATTTAAGGTTATCTAAATAAAAAAAAATGTAAATTTTGCTGGAAAAGCCCTTTCCCTTTTTAAAAATAAAAAAAATTTAAAAAATTTTTTTATAAAAAAAAAATTTAGGGTGAAATCAAAAATTAGTTGGGTTTTTTTTCAAAACCCCAATTTTTTTTTTAATTAAATTCTAATATGGGCCCAAAAAAAGGGGGAAATTTAGGAAAAAAAATTTTGTTTGCGAAAAATTTTTGTTTTTTTTAAATTTTTTAAAAAGTTTAAAAAAGCAAATTTTAAAAATTTTTATTTTTAAAATTAAACGATTAATTAAAAACAAAAAATTGTTTTGTTTTTTTAAATGTAACCCCCTTTTCAAAGTTTTAAATTAAATTGTTCCCTAAGGCCAAAAAAAAAATTTTTTGAAAATTTTTATTTTCTTTGGGGGAAAAAAATTTTTTATTTAAATATCCCCCCCAAAAAAAAAAAAAAAAATACCAATGGGGTTTTTTTTTTGAAAAAAATTGAAATTTCCAAACCAAATTCCGGCTTAATTTAATTTCAAATAAAAATTCTTTTTTTTCTTTGGGGAAAACCCCAAAAATTTTTTTTAATGAGTTTTTTTTAAAATTTTTTAATTCAAAACTTTTTAAACAGTTCCCCTTTTTTAAAAAAAAAAAAACCAAACCCCGCCAAAAATTTTTAAAAACTAAAATTTGAAAAGAAAAAAACAAAGAGGGTTTTAAAGAAATCAAAAAAAACCCAAAATTTAAAATAAAACCTTTTTTTCTTTTAAAAAAAAAAAATTTGGGGTTTTGTAGTACAAAAAAAATTTTAAAATTTTCGTTTTTAGACAAATTTTATCACCCGGCCTCTTTAAAACATTAATTTTTTTTTTCGCTGGTAAAATTTTCTAAAAATTAAAAATTTTTTTTAAAATAAAAAATTTTAAAAAAATAAAATTTAAATTTTCCCCCATTTTTTTTAAAAAAACCTTTGGCCAAAAATTGGGGGGTTCATTTTTTTTGTTCCAAAAAAAATTTTTTTAAAATTTCCCCCTTTCCCCAAAAATTTTGAAATGGGTAACAAACAGAAAAAGGGGGCAAAAATTTTTTGAAAAAATTGGGTTGCGCCCGGGAAAAAGTTAAATAAAAGTTAACCCTTCTTCCCCTTAAAATTAAAAAAAAAAAATTTTTAAAACCCCTTTAAATTATAAATAACCCTTTTTTTTAAAAAATTTTTCAAATTTAAAGGCCTTTTTGGAAATTTTTGGGGAAAATCAGTTTTATGGGGTTTATTGAAACAAGGGGGGAAAAAGGCCGGGATTAATTTTAATTGAAAATTTTAAAAAATCTAAAAAAAGAAAGGAAAGTCAGGGGAAACGGGGGGGGGAAAATTTCAATTAAATTTTCAAAAAGATTTTTAAAGAAAATAAGGTTTTTAAATTTGAAAAAAAAGTTTTTCCCCTTTTTAAAATTTCCCTTCAGTAAAACTAACTTTAAAAATTTGGTCTTTTATAAGGCCTTTTAACCCAAGGAAAAAATTTTTTCCCCTTCCCCCTAAAGTTTAATTTTTTCTAATTTTGGGCTTTAACTCTAGTAAATTTTGGGGGGTAAAAATTTTAAATTTTTTAGATAAAATTAACCCGTATTAAATTTTTGATTGAAAAAATTTCCCCAAAAAATAATAAATTTAATTTTAAAGATAAAAATTTTTAAAATATAATTTTTCCTTTTTTATTTAAAAACAAGAAAGTTTTTAAAAAGATTTTTATTTTTCCGTTAAAAACAAAAGGAAAAAATTTACAAAACTTAATTTTTTAAAAAAGAAACTTTAAATTTTGAAAATTTTGTAAAAATTTTAAAAACATTAAGGTTACATTTTTTTTCTTTGAAAAAAGAAAACTCCAACATAAACCTGTGGTCTTAAGGTTTTCCCCAAAAACATGTAAACTTGGGTTTTTGGGAAAAACGGCCTTTATTTTATTTTGAAATTTTTTAATTTTTTTATAAATTTAAATTTAAAAATGAATTTTTTTTTTGTTTCATTTAAATTTTTGCTTTTTTCCAAAACAAGGTAAAGAAAATTTTTCTGGTTTGGGTTAAAAAAATATTGAAATTTTAAACTTATTTGAAAAAAAAAAAGAAAAAATTTTCTTCTTAACTTTAAAAAAATATTAAATTTTTTTACCCAAAAAAAAGGCAATAAAAATTCGGTTGAATTTGGGGGGTTTTTTCTGCGGGAAAAAAGAAAACTCAATCTTAAAAAATTAAAAGGGTTTAAAGACCCCCTTAAAAGGTAAAATACAATATTTTTTAAAAGGTTTTCTTTGCCTTAATTAATTTATTTTAATTTAATGGGGTTAACCCCCAAAAAATAAATTTTTAAAAAATAGATTTATTTTTTTTAAAATTGGTTAACCCTTAAAAATTTTAATAATTGTTGCAAAACAAAAAAAAGAGTTTAAAAATTAATAAAATTTTTATTTTAAAACAGGTTATGGGAAAAAGGGCCCATAAAAATTGGTTTCCTTTTTTAAAAGAAATTAATGACTCCCTTTTTTTTTTATTTTCCTTTTTTCCCCTTAAAAATAAACCCAAAATTTAAAACTTTTTAAAAAAAAAAAATTTTTTAATTTTTTGGGGTTTCTAAAAATTTTAAAAAAGTAAAATTTTATTCCTTTAAAATTTCCTTTTTTCCCCCAGCAAATTCCTCAAGGAATTCTTAACCTTTAAACCCCAAAATTTTCAAAACCGGTTTGGGGGTCTTTTTTTATTTTTAAAAATTTTTTTGGACAAATAATTTGGTTAAAATATTTTTTACTTATTAATTTCGAAATTTTTTTTAAAATAAGTTTAAAAAATAATGGAAAAATTTAAAAATTTTTAAAATAACCCGTTTTAAAGGAAAAAAGGCAATTTTACCAAAAAAAATAGATTTTTAACAAAGGAAATTTCATTAAAGAAAAAGGGTACCCCCTTTCTTTTTTTAAAGAAAAACCTTTCTTTAAAATTTTTTTGTCAATTTTAACGGCTTTAATTTCTTTTTTTATTTTTTGGAATAATTAAAGAAAAAATTGGGGAAACTTTAAGGTACGAAAAAAAATTTTGGTTTTTTCATTTTTAAAAAAAAAAATTTTAAAAAATTTTTAGAAGAAATTTTTATTTTCCCAGGCAAATTTTTAAATTTTTAAAATTACCCAAAGTTTTATAAGGGAAAAAGAAGGAGGTTTTTATTTTTTCTTTTTGGGTTTTCCAATTCCCTTTTTTTAAAAAAAACCTTAAATTTTTCTTTTTTCAAAAACTTAAAAATTTTGGGTTTTTCTTAAATTTTTTTTAAAAAATAAAGGTGATTTTTTGCCCGAAATCAACCTTTTTTTAAAATGGAAAAAAATTAATTAATTTTTTCAAAAAATGAAACCCGGAAAATTTGGACTGCTTTTTTAAAGACTAAAGGGGGAAAACTACCCCAAAATGGGACCTTTCCTTTTTTTGAAAAATTCAAAGGTTTTTCGTTTTAAATTTTGGGGTTTTCGGTTAAATTTAAGGTTTTTCATCTCTAATTTTTTTTTTACAATTTTCAATTTTTGGTTTCCTTAGGGGTTAAATTTTAAAAAAATTTAGTTTTATAGGAATTTTTCATTAGTCCCTTTTTAAATTTTTTGGTTTTTCCTTTTAAAAAATTTTCCCTTACTTTGGAAAGGGTTTAACTTTCCCCAACTTTTTTGGGGTGTTTATTTAAGGGAAAAATTTGGGGTTTT